ACTTGTTCCTGTTTTGTTCTTGTACATGTATTCTACATGCACGGAAGTTTTACACTTTGGGATGAATATCTGTTAGGCATGCATTTACTCATTTACTTCCAGTTTAGCAAAGGTCTTAGAGGACTTAAAAATTGCGGTTTAAAATAAATTAGCTGGGAGAAGGAACAATTGATTTCTTTTAAACTGGGAAGATATGGAGCATTTTGGTTTTGTCTGTTTGTTTGGGGTTGGGAGGGAGTTTAACTCCTCTTGAATGAGAAATAATTTTTTCTTAATTGTTAACTGACGTGATATTCTTGGAATGTGCCCTCCTCACTTGCTTGGTCCTTAAATGTCCTAGTAATTTGCTGAGTATGGAACCTCTTTGGAAATGTATCCCTCTTTCTGAGAAGGGCCTGGTAGTTCTAACAAATCTTTGTCAAAAACTTCGTGCCTAGAGAAGAGCTGTATTCTAGAAATGCATAGTAGGCAAAAAGAATCAACCCGAAGTGACAAATTATTTTAATGTATTGTGATCTGATTTAAAGAAAAGCATTTAGGTGTTGGCTCAAATCCTGTTTTCGCTCTGGCCTGTTCTGGAATCTCTGTTGCAGCTCCCTCAACATATTACAAAGGCATTGATGGCACTCAGCTCTTTCTGTGAGAAATAAATATTTTATATTTTTTGATTGCAACAGAGAACATATAATTATGATAATATCAATTTGGTCAAAAGTCATGTGATGAAAATGTTGTGTTGCATGCTTAGGAGCAGACCAAACAGGAAGATGAAAAAAAAGAAATATAATGTGCACAGACATTCTGGCAGCAGTGTTTTCGGTTGGAAAGCACATTCACATTTTTATTTTACTTTTTTATGACTTGGGAGTTGGACAATGTGAAACCTCTCCAGTTTGCTTCGTGAGAGTCATATGAAAAGGAATTTTAAGTCGCATCATGAGTTGCTTCTTCATGAACTGGACCATCTCTTTGAAGAGCATGGAAAGTCAAGTTAATCTGCTTAATATGTGAACAAAAAGGAATCAAGTCTCTTTTTAAGTATTAGTAAAGGCAGAAAAAGATGCAATGATGATACATTATTCTTTCTGTGTATGAGGGAGAGTAATATCTGGCCTTTTCTGCTTCTAACAATATATCTAGAGCTTTCAAACAAGGGATTAAAAGGGGTTTTTAAATGACCAGTTGTGTTGTATTTTAGTTTTTGCATTAAACTTCCATAAAATCTGAATGTCTAATAGATTATTGGGGCGAAATAAATATTATTAGCATTATTTAAAGTTTTCTTTTTTGAGACCAGCAACTGAGTCATATAAAATCAGAAGGACTTGAAAATCTGAGACATAATGTCATGTCAGAGAAATAGCTTAGTATCTTTTTTCTTGCCTGAAAGAGTACCTTTCCCTGTGAGAGGTGCTGTACTTTCAGAGTTTGGAGGAAGCTGAGGGGAGTTGTTTTATTAATGGGAAAAGTGAATCTTCCAATCCATTAGGAGACATAGAGGAATGATAAAAGAATGCTGTGTATTTTTATTTAGTACATCCCTATCTTAAATAATGTATTTATTTAGTATAATCCTGTCTTATCATATGCTGCTGATTTTGTGGGATTTTTTGGTTATTTGGTGGTTTGGTTTTTTTTTTTTTTGGTTTTTTTGTGGTTTTTTTGAAGTATCCATGGTCATGTATCAGCTTTCCTAACATAAGATTAGAATGATAACCTGTACATGCTGACATTTCACAGTTTTTGTGAACTGTCTATATGTAAGTTAAAGAGTATCTTTTTCATAATATTTAACTATCAGGTGTACTGATTATCCTTTATATTTAGACTTTTACTATCTCATTTTACTTTTAATTAAGAGAAAAAACCCCTCATTTTTAAATGCATAACAAGATGATCTACAGAATTTTTAAAGTTTGTGGGTTTTCCTTCTTTTTTTACTTTAAAGATTGTTCTTCCTGTGAAGGAGTGTTGGTTTTTAGAATAAGTGATTCACTCAGCACCAGATTTTCCTAGGCAGTGCATCGTGCCAAAACCTGGTATTACCCTGTGTTTGGTTTTATTTAGTTGGGTTTTTTTACTTTTTATTTTCCTGTAAAGCATATATTCCTTCTTAATCTGAAAGGTCTTGAGCACTCTTTTCATAACATTAATGACATTTATTAGTGCAAGTTACCACACATCCATATGAGCATGCATTCAAAGACCTAGATTTTTGTTTGACATGTTGTTGTATTAAATTGTGTTGCTGTGATGCCCTTACTGTTACTAAGATTGTGTCAAACCTTCTATTTTCACATACCTGTTCTGTGACAAAGTTCGCTTGAGGCAGAACCTGGTGCTTTTTACTCTTGGAAAGCTTCTCCATTTTGCAGACACCTCTTTTTAAGTTCTTTAAACTTAAAGCATATTACTGTGATTTGCAGGTAAAAAGAACTGATTGCATTTGCTAATGCTGCTTATTAACACTAACATGGAGAGGCAGGAGGATTTCAGCTGTCAGTCTGAGTTCTTGAAGCTCAATAATATTTTAAGTGGGAATGCATTTGAAACATGTGACCCCTTCTCTTTGCTTTTAAACCCTCCATTTCTTAAACTTATCAGACATGAACTGTAGAAGAAAGGCCACAGTTTGTTCTAGCATTCCCAAACTCTTAACAGGAAGTGTTTCTGTACCCTCTATTTGATTCTAAGTAAAAAGATTATTTTCCTAAATCAGCGCTGTAGAAAAATCAAGCATATTGTTGGAGTGACTGGTTGCATGAAATTCTTGGAACTGATACCAGCTCTTCTCTTGAGAGGGAAGCCCTGAATTACAAAGCACTGTGTCTTGTTCAAAGGCTGAGAGGAAGATAAAGGCTGAGACTACTGAAACTGGCTCAAAGAGCCATTGATTCATTTTAAAGCATTAGATTTTTCTTTTGGAGAAAAAGAGTTGTTATTTGTGAATCTTCATGATCAAATAGTACCATTTAATGATTCCTAGGAAAGGTTTTGTATAAAGTAATGAAATTAACAAAGTAATTTATTACTTCCAAAGAGGCATCCCCATGCAGTTTTGCTTTCTTGTCAGGATATTTTTTTCCTTAATGCTAAAAGTTCACCTCAGCCTTTTTCAAGAAACATTTCTGTTGAGTACAAAGATTTATGTAAGATATTTATTCTTTGAACTTGTGATGAAAATAGTTCTTAGAAACATAAAATCATAGAATGGTTTGGGTTGGAAATTACATCAAAACTCATTCATTTCCAACCCCTTCCACTTCCAATATCTTCCACTATCCCAGGTTGCTTGGAGCCCCATCCAACCTGGCCTTGGATACTTCCAGAGATGGGGCAGCCACAGTTTCTCTGTGCACCCTGTGCCAGGGCCTCAGCACCCTCACAGGGAAGAATTTATCCAATCTAAACCTCCTCACTTCAGTATGAAGCCATTCCCCTTTGTCCTGTCACTCCAGGCCCTTGTCAATAGTCCATGTCTGTCTTTCCCGTGGGCTCCCTTCAGGTACATTTCAGTAGGCTCTCACTCCTTTTATTCCTCCTACAGCAATGAGGATACTAGGGCTACTCTTACCTTTTCATGCTCCTCTCTTGAGGTCAGTTCTTCTGTCATCAGCAAACCCAGTCATAAATGATCTTGGACAGATGTTGGTAGTTATGAATATGGTTCAGCTGAAGAACAATGTCAAAAGTGGATTCACTTTTTCTTTTAATGATACTGTTCTGGATCAAACTGAATACATTGAAACGTAGACCATCCATGGAAGACGCATTTGGAAGTTTTCTAATCCAAACCACTATGTAAAGCAAATCTGGTTAGAACAGGTGGGTAAGGGCCCTGTCCAGTCAAATTCTTTGTGATTATCCTCAGGAATAATTATTTGTCGTAGGGTAATTCTACAGGATAATTCCTTGTGATTATCCTCTGGTCCAACATGTTTGTGGGCAGCCTGTTCCAATATCTGGTCACAATTTTTTCACTATTCCAACTTCTGTCCTAAGGGTTTTGTCGTAATCCCAGTGCAGCTCTGAGAAGAGCCTGGCTCTGTCTTTTAGAGGTCTGTGTTCAATTTATGGGTTCCAGTAAAATGAGAATACTTTAAGTATGAGAGTTTTTAGTCTACCATGGTCGCTTTTTCTCAAGCATTTGTGGGACTCATGATCATCTTTGTGACCTAATTACCACGTGACAAGTCAGGCTTTTCTCACCTTTCTTTTTTTTGTTGTTGTTGTAGAATACAAGCTAAATTTCAGACCTTCTGATTATCATTAGTCTGAATCAGGTTTCAGAAATTGTTGTTCTGGATTTGATGTTGATTAATTATACATATTGCCTGGCTTTACTTAACACAAATGTTTAATTCCAGTTTAATTCAAGCTGCTTCCTGATATTTTTTGGAGGTGGATAGGGAGAAGACTTGGCAAAAGGAAAGGGATATCCTCCAAAGCACAGTATGTTTGAATTGTATCCATTTTGCCAGAATTCTCACAGAAGTTTATGTGCATTTTGTAAAAAATGTCTGGCTTTTGAAGTAAAAGGATATTTGTGATAGAGAAAGCTTAGACAAGGCCAATAGAGAAATGTGAAAAATAGTTAACTGTGTGATTTCTTATTTTTATAAAGCAAAAACTAACCCTTCTATATTCTGGTCACAGGACACCAATTATAGTGAAGACTGAAGATCTAAGAAGGTGAATACTGAAGCTCTAACCCTTGAGTTCCTAAAATTGCTAGAATTAAGTCTTGGGAAAGATAGGTTCTGCAGGTATTGAAATCTGCTGAATAATGCCGTATTTTAATATTTCTGCTGGAGTGGGTATTACTTGAAACTATCTTTGAATATCTAGAGAAAAGAAGCTGGTATTTTTTAAGATTGTCAAAGCTGGGGGAAATTTCATAGAACGTGGTTTTCCCCATCCCTCCCTCCGTCCCTCCCAACCACTTTATAAATTCTATTTTGTATAAATTGATCCTTGACTTTTATTGTCTCATTCCTTAGTGTGCTGTTCTCATCTCTAAACACTGAAACCATCTGGAAACTCCTCAGAATAAATGGATCAATGGGTAGACCTGAAAGGTGAATAGGAAAAGAAAATCCTCTGTGTGTTTTCTCCAGTGCTTGACTGCTGCTGCTTCCTAGACCAGTCCTTGCAGATATTCTGAACTCGACTGTGTGTGCCTTTAGGCAGTGCCAGAGCTGGCCTTGCTTTCAGGTTGGGTTGCATGAGTTGTCCTGAGAGGCTTTGCAAACTAAATTGTGATTACTTTAATGTTGATCTGCTTTATTTGGGCTGTGAAGAAAATTCATTACAATGGGCCAGGCTTTAATTTTTTCTTAGAAGTACCATAGATTTGAGTGGAATCAATGTCTTTTTAGTTTTGTTTTATTGGAATTTTTTAGGTTTTCTTTTTATTTTCTTGTGTTTTTTTTAACATCTCATACTTATCCTGAGTAGACTTTTTGGAACCTGCAGTTTTGGCCTAAGATTATTCTTCAAATGCCATGGTCTATGTTATGTCCAGCTAAGGGACAGCTAATAAGCCTGTCCTGGACCGAACACATTGGATGAGGCATTTAGGAAACCTAAGAATGAACGTAAAACTGATAGGTTATCATAGATAGGGAGTTACCCCGGGGTTTGCCAGAAATACAAATACGCAGCCCCACCCTCAGGCAGCTCCACACGCACCATTCTGACAAAACAAAAAGTAGTATATTCTGTCAGTTGTTCCATTAAAATGTACAAAATTCGTCCTGAAACTCAAATTTACAGGCCAGATTATACAGAAATCACTTGATTTTACCTGGCTGAATCAGAGGTAATCTCTATTACCTAGAAAAATTTAGATTATTAAGACTTGATTGATTTCAATTCTCACTAACCAGAGATGGATGTGAATGAGGAATTCTTCCTAGTTCACCATCAGCTTACATTTTTCTGCCTTATTTCTTGGAATGGCTCTTGATCTTCCTGTGTATAAAACATGCTTTTGGTGTGTCTGTCAGGTAAGCGCATTTCACAAAGTTCTCATGACCTGTTTTAAGCTGCTGGCCAGGCTTTGGTGACTGTATTTGGCACAGGAAAGCTTGTGAGCTTCTCAGGTATGCACATCAATCTGAATAAATTCATCATGCAGCCTTCCTTACTAGCCATGCAGGAGAAAGTCTTGAGCAACCTCATCTGAAATGCAGTGTTGACCATGCTTTGAAAAGGAGCTTGGGTTGGATGACCTGCTGGTCTGAATTTTGACAGAATTTACTGTTCCCTTTGGTGGATTCAAACTTGTTGATAAAACCTTCTCAAAATTCAGTGGCTTGCATATTCGTTGTCCATGGAAAGTTTCCTTCTTTTCACAACGTGACTGGAGAGCTTCTCAAGCTGTCCTTTTAGGACATGACTGTCTGAGAACTGCAATGTTTTGGAAATGACCTGGGCTGGATGACCTACTGTGTCTTTTCCAACCATAATTTCTATGACTCTGTAATTTTGAGGTTGACTTCTTGTTGCCCAATTTTACAGTTACTTAATCCAGTATCAGGCATATTTCAAGAGACCACATTTAGTCATGGTTAGACTGTGTGGGTTGTTTTGTCTTTTTCTGTTATTTTTCAAATCCTGAAGACTGTCAGCATTTAATGTATTCTTTCCTATTCTGGTGCCACAAATAATGTTACTACCCTGTGAGGAAAGAAAAGTCTGAATTCTCATTTTTGGAATAGATGGTTGATTAAAAGAACCAGATTTGTTGCAGGTCTAAGGAGAGACATTAGGCTACTTCTTTTCTTTATTTGTACCAGAAATGCATTTCCATCATGAGAATAAGGGATAGAATTGAGAAATTTTCAGCATTGTTATCAGTTAAATTTATAATGAGGTATTAATAAATTTTTAGAGCTAAATGCACATGGACTCTGAGGACTATGAATGCCTCCTTTTTCTATACATTTCCTATAACATTGATGTGGCCCTTTTCCCTGCAGAAGGCTCCCTTTTTATGCAAGAGATAATATTTTGGGAAATTCATTGCCTAGTAAGAATTCTTGCACCAACACTCTTTGAAGAGAACCTCAGTCTTTGTGTTTTTGAAGTGCCTTATGTCAGCATCCCTCAGGATTTATTCCATGCTTTCTATCCTAATCTACTGCCTACATATTTATGACACACGTTGAGTTTGCCAGTTTTTGGTATTTTTAGATGTTTTTTTGTCCACAGAAATCAAAGCATGGAAACAAATCAGGATTTCGTTTTGAAACAGAGGTGCATATACATGTATGAATATATATTATACAAACCAAAGAGCAAACATACCTAGAATTCTCTCATTTGGGGGGGAATCACTTGGCCTGGAATTCCTGTGGGATCTCTGAAGAACTGGAAATTAGAGGATTAACATCTGGGTGTGAAAACACAATTGGTACTATAGAGGCTTGCTTGGGGTTTTGTTTATCTTTTATTTAATTGGAGTGATATGTGGACTAATTCATAAATTAATCATGCTGTTACAGCCACAAAATTTCTGTGTTTAAAATTTGTGGGGAAAAGGTAATCTTAGGTCAGAATAGTCCTGGGATTGTTACCAGGCTTACAAAACTGTATATGAAATGCAGTAAAAAAATTGATGGATTCAATAACAGGTTGCTCACCAGTTTTTCTTCTGCCCTACATTCTTTTTCTCTATCAAAAGTTCTGTTATATTTATGCACAGTTTCTTGTAAATGTTCTTGAAGGAGAAATGGAAATCCTCACATGTTTTCCTTACAGGGCCTTCTGTCTTTACTGCTTCAGGTCAGTGTTTTATTTGAAGAGAAATCAAAGTAGTTAATCACTTCTTAGAACATGATTTTACATATTTTCTATTTTTGTTTGCCTTTTATTTTTTTTAGAGACTGTCCATCTTAACATGCCTTTCCAAAATTGCTTTAATTCTTGTTGAACTCCTCTGAACTTGTTCCAGGTTGTGTTTTTAAAATACAGTGCTGAATGTACTTTCCCTGGTTGAGACATAAGCAGTTCCTGAGAGGATGGGAATAATGTCTCATGCACTTTGTGGAGAAAATCTGCTTTGAAGGAATTTTGTGTAGAGCCTGTAAGACCTGTTGATGTGATACAGACTGTATCACAGATAAAATGGATAAAATACCTGTTTGCCTTTCTAAAAGCTCACTTTCTTCAGCTGGCTGCTCTGCCTGCTGCCTGAACACTGGGTTGTGCAGTGATTGTGTCAATCACCAGTCTGGTTTGGGTGGTTTTTCCCAGAATGTGGCATGAATACAGCTACATTCTCAGTTTGTGCTGTTTCCAGCTGCAGTCCTGTGCTGTCCACACAATCTCCATCCATCATTTGTTAACACGCACGCTGCATTCTTGAGCTGTATATTAAAGCTCTGAATGTTGGTGGACTGCATGAACGTTTGACCGATTAACCTTAACACAGATTGGAAAAATACCCAACTACCTTCTTTCTCTCTTGGAAAATAACCAGCACAAAACCCAACTGACACAAAGCCAACAAAACCTCTCATACTCCCTAAAAAGATACTTAGTTCTTATACCACATAAGACTATTGAGCAATACTTCAATTTAGACAAATATTTCTACTTACGCTGTGATAGCAATGATTTATCATTGATCACAGAGCGGTTGGGGTTGGAAGGGACCTTAAATATCACCCAGTCCCATGGCAGGGACACCTTCCACCAGAACAGGCTGCTCCAAGCCCCATCCAACCTGGCCTTGGACACTTCCAGAGATGAGGTAGCCACAACTTCTCTTGGCAACCTGTGCCAGGACCTCCCCACCCTGACAGGGAAGAATTTCTTCCTGACATCCAGTCTGAACCTACTCTCTTGTAAACAGTCCCTTTCCATCTTTCCTGCAGTAATCAAAGTTTATCCTAAGACTGTTTTAACCAAAGTCAATTAGCTCTATAAATATTTCAACATCCTATGACGACCATAAAGATTTTTTTTATTATCTTTCATTTACCTGTCAGAATTACAGATATATATTTTTGTTAATACATAGTATCTTTCTTTCAACAGCTTGGTATATCTTGAGTTAGTTTTATTAGCTGAGTAACTTAGCCTGCTTTTTTTTTAAAGGAACTGCAGTTTAACGATAAATATCTCCAAATGCCACAGAATTCAGGGCTGCAAGTCAAAAATGCTGATCAGTTTGTAAAATCTTAATCAGTCCCTCCATGAAACCTAGGGACGGACCTCTGTGGTAGTAGAAAAATTTCCAGAAATTCACCACAGTCTTTTACCAAGCTGCAGTTTGTTCTGATGTTGCCAGACAGCTAAGAAGATATGGGAAAAGCAGGAAATCTTTTTGGATTTAATCACAGTGCTGATTTGGAAAAGCAACTTAACAATGGAAAATATTTTTTTATGTTTTAAATCATAAACACAAAACTATACAAGTTCTGTGGTAGATTACAACTGCGTTAAGATAGATTGTTTTCCTTATGAGTGAAGATAACCCTTCATTTTGGAATCTGGTGGTCCTAGACATATTTATGTATTTATTTGTTTATTTTATATATAGATATCCAGACTAGATTATTTGATGTTTGTACCATTTACCACCATTTGGTTGTACCCAACAAGTACCATTTGTTGAGGTACTGGGGACCTGTTTGCTATACCTGAAATCTTTAGCTATAACTTTGGGTAACATCTTCATATTTTCCTCTATGAGGAAGATTTTCCTGCATTTTTACTTTCAAAAGATGTTGGACTATGTTGATGGGCAGTGCTTATGTTTTCCCCTGAAGTTACCCAAATTCTGTTGTAAAACACCCAGTGTTTTGTATTTAACTCAATCAATTAAAAAGCACTTCTTAAGTGAGATCTTGCAGTTCTTGGCCTTGCATCCTCTGTGTGAAAAAGTTCTTATTTAGGTTCCTTGATCTGTTTTAGGACTTATGGAGACTTCAGGCAGGCTGTGGAGATGAGACTGGAGGGAAGGACTGAATGCTTTTTTCTGAGCAGGCAGGGGATGAGGTTATGAAAATGTTGTAAAATCAAGATTTCTTTTGTGTTCTAGTGCCTGCTGAAAGATGGATGATGATGACTTTGGAGGATTTGAGGTATGCCATTTTGATAACTTTGCTTTGAAATTTAACAATTTTCAACTATTTTATGGACATTTATAGCATTTTGTAAAATATGTAACAGTTTCTTCTTGTTTCCAGGCAGCAGAGAGTTATGAGTTTGGAAATGGTGAAAAGCAGACCACATCTCCTGCTATTGCTTGGGCAGCATTTCCTACAGGTATTAACAGAATCACTGTAAAAATTTTTAATATTCTATTCCTGTCCTTATGTATTCACTGTAAAAATGAGGGCTTAGAAAGGTGTGTACAATAAAATAACGCACAATAAAAAAATAGCCAGCAGTCAAAACTTGAGCATAAGAACGTTCCTGAGCAATTATTTTGGGAAGCTACACTTCTCAAAGTTAAGCTTTATTGAGGAATGAAAGAGAAATTCAGTGTATACAGTAGAAAAGGAATGGAACTTCTTCATTCAAAGGATATTCTTTTCTTCTGAGTGTGGAAAATCTGTTGCAAATTGTGGGAAAACAGAAAAAGTTAAAAATAGGATTGTGATGAAGTCTTTTACTTGCTTTGGGGAAGAGAGGAGGGATGAGGATGATAATTTTTACTTAAACCATTTATATAGTTGAAAAAGATATTACTTATTCTTTATCTCAAGGAGAAGCATTAGGGAACTGTTTTATTAATTTATACAAGTGCCTGGTGCCTGTCTGGATTGATAAAATTTTATTGATAAATATATATTATCAGTAGAACTAAAATATTACGGAGGTGTTACTGATTTTGTTATGGTCTAGATTTCATTCTTTTTACAAAACAAAACTGCACTTTTGCAGCATCAGGAAAAACTTACCAACAACACACATTGTGTTGTTAAGCAGAGTAACTTATGCAAAATAAGCAGGGATTTTTCTTAACATGAGCTCTTTATAAATCATGTTCTTAAACTGTTTTTTATTAATTTACTTTTGGCTTTCATCTATTACAGAATAATTAGTTTTATTTGTCATTGAAACAGAGGAAAACAAATACTACAGAAACAATATTTTTCTAAATAACTTTATTATTCATCATGTCATTTTGAATTACTGTTTAAATTCACTAGCATGTTTTAATGTGTTTAATAAATTAAATCCAACATAGCTGTGCAGTGTATGTCAGTGAAGTCCAATTAAAACCCTGTGAGGTGTGTAGAATTGAAATTATTTGTACAGAACACAGAAGTTTTTTGTATGATTTTAAGTGATACAGAAGTCCTAGGATAAGTTATGCCCAGATATTTTAAGCATTTAAAAATTAAAAGAAAACTCATGTATTCTGGATATTTTGTTACTGTAAAATCTTAGTTCATGCACATGACTTTTTCATGCAAATATTGCTGTGAATAAATTAGTTTATTGCCATAGGCAAGCTTTTAATAGTATTGGCTGCTTCTTGGGCTTTGACTTGTAGATGGATGTTTTTAGTAACAGAAATAACTGAATTGTCTGCCCAATGGTATCTATATATGAAGATGTTCCTGTCTTACCCTAGAAATTTCTTAGTAAGGCTTGTTGAAAATTTCAAATGTATTATGGTGCTATTGAGGCGATGTTGATAAATTTGGGGAGAGATAACATTGTATACACCCAAGATTTGAGAAACTTTTCAGAGGAGTTACTCTTCTTGTGAATTTCCTACATATCTGCTGTTTGGAAGTTATAAAACAAAACACTGAAGCCTGTGGCTATATTTTTCAGTGTGCAGGCAGAATTCAGAAATTATTTCTAAGGCCTCAATGGTGACTTCATTGCAATTTTGCTCTTGAAATTGGTCTTGGGCTTCTTAGTATTTTTTTGGTCGTATGGACTGCGTGGATTTAAAATGTTAGGATAGTAGATGAAATTACTTTTCTTCTAGAATAGTTTGGCTTTAGAGGAATAAAATGTGAGGAAGAGCTTTGTGTGGTAAGTTACCCGAAATCATCTTGAGAGTGCATCAGAGTGGTTTTTCCCATTGTGGTCACAAAACCAGTTTCAAACTCAAACTTTCTACCTGAATGTTACTTTTAATGAAAATGTTCAGGAATAAAGTTTTCAGTGTATGCAGTATAACTGAAAGTTTCCTTGAATTGTAATATCAAGAAAGGGGAGTTGAGGAAGGAAATTTAATTTTGTTTTTGGTTTTTTTAAAATTTTTAACAGTTGAAACCTACATGTAGGGGAACTGTGCTATAAGTAGTTTGCAACATTCTACAAAAATATGTCAAATAATTATTATATGATCTTTTTCTCAGATCACTGCTGTCATATGACTTCTTGATTGCTAGATATAAGTAACATCCTATTAGTAAATATTACCCATGTGGTACATGTGGTATTTGATGTCTTCATTCTGAAACTCAGTACGAAGGATAAGACTCAATGGAATGTTGATTTAACAGTTCATGTTCATCCATTTGGTTTTGTTTTCAGAATTTCTGTTCCCTCAGGGAATTTTAATAATTGTTTAAGCTTGAATTAAAGACATAGAATTTTCCTTCCATTAGGGAGATTGCAGGCTGTCCCTCATCTCTGCTGCTATTAACAAATTGCATGGTTCTGGCAGTCCTTATGTACAAACTTATGACAGAATATTCTTAATATTGGGAAGCCTGGTCTTCAGAAATTACTAGATACTTTTTAAGTACAATTCTGGCAATAACTTATATCTGCATCTTATTTCAGCCTTTTCAGGTGTATGACTTTTGATACACCTGTAATTGAGGGAATGCTTCTTTTCTCTACAGTGCTGCACCTCTGATCATTGAAAAATAAATTTATTTGAAAATTCATCAGTTTTAGCATGTTGGAGTCAGGTCAGGTAGTTCCAACAGAGGCAAGTTTTGCTTTCAGAGGTTGCAAAACTGTTCCATTATGGTAAGTAAGGCATGGTAAGCAGGAATTATTTAGGAGTTCTCTTTGTAAGCTAATTTTGAGCTGAATTAAATGCAATTTCACCAGTATGTACACAAGAGGAATAAATTAAGAGAGCTTGAATTACAGACATAGCACATGTAGTTCTAGGAATGTCTAATTTATGAAGCTTTTAGCATTGCTGAAAAGTGAAAAGAAGGTTTTGTAAAAAAATATGTTTGAACGATACCTTGGAAAGTTGCCACCTTTTCTTGTCTTCTGCAAGGTCATGTGTTTAGTTGAAAATTTTAAACCAAAATGTTCAGAAGTACTCGCCAGTGGTTGCTCCTCATTTCCTAGGTTTCATTTTGACAGCTTAAGGAGTGGGGATTTTGTTTCTTGTTTGTTTTTTTTCTCCCCTTCAAGATACAAGGCATTCATTATTATAATTAGAACTACTGAAAGCTCCACCTGGTTGTAGAAGATTTCACATAAAACTCTACTACCTGAAAAATTGAGTTTTATCTCTAGGATTGGACACCCCAAAATATGTGACTATCTAAAGCTCTCATCTCAGCAAGTCTACATTCCCCCGGTGTGCCCAGTCTCCATGGCTCTTTTTACTTTTGTGATAAATTATTTACATGTGAACTATGCCTGTGCTATGGTAATCCTCAACAAAGGTTGAACACTCTCATCACAAGGATCATCGTCAGTTTTTCCATGTGAGTTGACAGTTTAGTAAGAGAACTACTACTTGCCTGCTTGGTCAGAAATTGCCTGGTACATTTTAGCTGTTTTTCCATCAGATGGAAATTGATTTAAACTTGAGACTCAGCCCATTAAGTGATAGTATAAAGCTGAGACTTTAAGGTTTGTTTAGATACAAAAAGATCATTTTCTATGACACTTCACTGCCACTTGAACTAACAGAGTAGGTAGTTGTTATAGGAAGCTGCCTTTGAAAGGAGACATTTGGAATGGGAGGGGAGTTTTATCTTATGCTACTTAAAGCCAAAAAGTCCTGTTTCCAGTTCCAGAGAAGAGTTAACTATTAAAATGCAATTACCTAGACTGGTTCCTGTTCTGTTTGCTGAAATACTCTCTTCTAGCTTTTTAGCCAAGTTTCCATCTTCTGCTGAGCTGTGACTTTTTTTTTCCTCTATTTTTTTGGCCACATCCAGATCTACTATCATTGAGGCTACCCTACTGATATTTTTCTTCCTCGTGGTTTATTTTCTTTCTTCTTTTCATTTGATGTGATTTGCATGTTCCTCCGTGTTATACCTGAATCCTCGAACTGGCATCTGAAGAAGATGGGACAGAGAGTGTTTGATTCAAGGATTAGTGTGTCCTTTTGAATGCCTTGAGGCCAGTTATACACCCTGGTTTGTGCTGAGTACTTGTGCAGTATTAAACAGGGATATCCAGAGGCTGAGCATCTTTTACATGTTACAGAGTCGTAACAATAATGGAGCTGCCTTTTCTGAAACAATTGGATGTGCTCTTTTTGCCTATTGCAATGACACACCTGGAGCTGACTGTGTCAAAGTTTGCCGGACTTTGCTGTTAAATTAAAAATGTGTGCAAAACTTTCTCTTTTTCTTTCTTTTTATTTAGTTTGTTTAGTTTATGTCTTTTTTAAAACCAAGATTTTCTGTTGTGATGGGTTGGTAATGCTGATCAACTGTTGAAGGTTTTATGACATAACTGTAATTTGGTATAGGAAAGCTCTTAGTCCAGAGTTGATTCCACTTCAGTTTTATTAGCTAGAGAGTTACATAGTTTTTTGTATTTTTATGTCTTAAAAAATATAAAGCTGTTTGACTGTGTGTCCTGGCAAGCTGTTTGTATATGGCTTCTAAGTAAGTTGTGGATTTTTTAAATTTAAAAATGTATAAAACTTAGGAAATTATAAGTATAGTTTTCCCATTGACTGAAACTGATTAAAGATCATGTTGAAGCTCTAAGGCTATGTGAATCAAAAGAAACAGAGTTAAAACTCATCCTTTTGAGGGCTTTTGTCTTATAAAAACTTAGTGTAAATTAAAAGTCTAAATTTATTGTGACTATGATTTTGATTGTCATTAAGTCAATACCAGTGAAAAACAGAGGCAATTTGAGTGGAATTACTTTTCAATGCAATTGAATTATAAGAGATACATAAGCTTACATTGGTATGTCTAGACTTATGATGTGTTTTACTAGGAATGGACTCCAGAAACAGAGCTAAGTTTTAGGTGTTTCTTCATATTGTGTGTGTTTTCTTTTCTAGTACCTGAAGTCCATAGATCTTCTGACGTTCTCCTGGAGCACTCTGTGCCTTCTTCCTCCCTGCTTCCTTCTGACTCTTTCATTTTATCAAGTAATAACGTGGCAACTGCTATTCAAACAGGCAAGAGTGTGATAAATCCAGCTGTTCCTGAAGAACAGGTAAATTTTTAATCTTCAGTTCAAGAACTCAATGTATTAAATATCAGTGTTGCATCTTTTCTGTGCACATTTAGGTTGAAATTCTTATTAAGGGCAAAAGGTCCTTGGATTTCTTGGATGCAGACTTTGTAGCAAAATGATTTTTAGATTGTTTATGAAACCTGTAACTGATAGACGCCATACTACTTTGAACTGCAAAAGAGAGAATTTTATTGGAGTTCTTAAAACTTAAGGGCATGCCTGAAGGAAATAGCAGAAAGGTTCTCTCAAAAAAACTGTCTACTTTTAAAGTTTGTCATACTTGTATGTTTTCTCAAGTATTTGAGGACTAGGTTTATAGGATTTTCAAGGATGGGCTCTGAGCAACCTGATCTAGTGAGAGGCATCCCATCCCTGCCCATGCCAGGGCATTGGAACAAGATGATCTTCAAGGTCCCTTCCAATACAAACCATTCTATGATTCAAGAATTAATGTTTAATCTTTACCTGATTTTGTATGGGGGGGATTAAATTTAACTTTTGCTTTACTTTGTTTTTTCCCACATTACTTCTAAAGTTGAAATATGTCAGGTGGCTGCAATGCTGCTGAGAGCTGAGCTTTGTTTCTTTCTGGGGTGTGAAAATGTTTCATTTTAAACTAAACAATTAGGTGAGCAACGAAGGAAAAAGCCTTTCTCTCTGGAGATTATCATAAGAATCTTGTCAGAATCATAAGAGCAAAAGAGCTGCTGCAGAAGAATTTACCCTTCTGAATTTTTTACTACCATTAATTGCAGTGACCCCCGTTTGAACATGTTAATTCATTGTAAACTTCCTTGTTTCAGGATGTGGGGTAGTACATACTTCAGTTAGAAAAGGCTCTTGCCTCACTGGGAAGCAATCAGTGTTTTGGGCTATTTGTCAACCCTCCTGTTTTCAGCACTTCCTTGGTTTTGTCTTCTTCAGGTTGACTCATCAAGTCTTGAGGCTGCTCCTGGTGAATTTCATTATTAAGTCAGATTTTTATTTTCTGACCATCTAAATGCATTTCTTTAGAGCTATTTAAACAAAATGCACAAAATACAAAATGGTTTAACTGAGCCTTTTCTTTTTTCTTTGAGGGGCATCTGTATGTTCACATTTCCAGAAAGACTGTGGCACAAATTGTGAGTGAATTAATTAATAAGTTACCATTTTGTGCTTGTTCCCAGGCTGATGTTCTGGGTAAAGCCTATAAAAAGTGAAGAAGAGATGTGCCCAGATGCAAATGATATCAAAGAAATTTATAAATCCAAAAGTTATGGGTCTTTTTTTCTTTAGAGGGAGGAGTGTTTGTTTTATTTTTTAACTGATGACAGCCAGGGTACTTTTCTGTATTGAAGGCTCTCCATCTGGCTCTTTGACAACGTTTTGATAAGTAATTTTTTATTTTACTGGAAGCATGATCAAAAAGTGATCTTTTTCTTCAGCCACCACAGATCCCACCTTTTAAAATTTTGGCTAACAGTGAATAACCGTCAACCTTTCTTATTTGAGCTAGGCCAGCAATTTTAGCTTTTGTGTTCTCTGGAAAGAGCACTTGGGTGATTCCAGAACACTAAGGCTTAGGGTTTTTTTTTTAACTATAAAGCCATTTAATTAGGTAATCTTACAGAAAAATAAAAAATACACTTTGTTACTTCAGACTAAGCATGTGTGCAAATTCTAGCTGTAGTCCTTATTTCAGTTTTTCTCATCTTGTTCTGTTCAGCTACTAAGAGATCCATCATTCTATAAATTCTCTGTAATGCAGGAAATAGTACAAATTAAAAAACTTTATTAGCAAGTCCTGCTGAAGGGAGTTGAGAGCAGGTCCTTTAACATTATTTTGAAATGGAGATGACTTTGCACTAAGGAGTAAACAAAAGGAAAATGGGCAGAAAACTAAACTAAAATATTCTTATACCTATTAGAGGGTGGTGTTAATAGAACTATATTCTTTTATAATTCTATCTCCAGAGCCTCTTGAGGTTTCAGGTAAAAAAATCCTTCCCTGTTACTGGTTCCATACTCACAGTTTTTGGTGGTGCCAGACTCTTGAGTAGTACTCAGAAATGGAATTGGCACATATGGCTTCTCTTTGGTTCTTAGGGGAGAATTCAGAGCACAAACTACAGTTTTCTCTCTGTCTGTTTTGTCTGCTGGATCTTATATATTCATGCACAGTCAAGATCTCAGCTGGTTTTGTTTGTTATTTTATTTGAATAATTTGAGAGATATTTATGGGAAAGTCAATGCATTATCTGAATGTACGTTTGGAATAAAAGATGCTAGGGGGTGAATGAGGTCAGATCAGTCAAACCTTTCTTTAATAAAGACACTGAGATGTTCCTTTCACCACCCAAATCTCAAGCATGCTTGGCTTTCAGATTGTTGAAAAAGTGGCAGCTGGATAAATGTACCATTTCTTTTTCCTTGGAGTTCTTTTGTGGTGAAAAGAACAAGTTTTTGACCCTTCTTTTATTTATTTTAAAGGGGAGAAATAAAGCTTTGAATTTTTTTTTTTTATACCACAAAATGTTTTAAACATTTTAGACAAATTTATCTATGTTCTTTTCTGAAAGTGTGGGCTTACCATCAGTGTTTCACCTGTTTTCTGTACTTCCACAGTTTACTGAAATAGCAGTCACCAAATGCTTAGAGATGTCTGGATTTCTTTTATTTTGTTAGTCTAGCCTAAGGATGAGATATTTATTTTACCACAAACCCTTTGTATTCCCTCTCTGTGACCACTGATTGTAGTGTACAGTGGGTGAAAACATGGAATGACTAATCTAAGGAGAGTTTGTTTCCCTGAGGCATTGAGAGAGATGATTCAGTTCCACTTTTCTCCTATGAACTAGGCTCAAGAAGATATTCCAGTTGCCTCTTCAAATGTAATTGAAGACAAGACTTTAGCTGATGTTGAGGCAAAGAGAACAAATGAACCCAAGAGCTGCCTCCAACAAGCTGTTGCAAACCTCAAAACCAAGCTTTGCAGTGCTGAAGAGGAAAAACTAAAAATCAAAAAGGTATGAATAGTCAGTTTGAAGGAAAACATTTGGCATTTATATAGGAATTAAGTATAGGTGGAGCTGGCAGAGATTTAAAATTATTTGAAATTAAGTTTTTTCGTAGAAATTAGCCAAATTCCAGAGAAACTGGCCAAATTTAGAGTCATAGACTTCCAAGACTATCAAGTTCAACCTGTGCCATATCCCCAGCTTCTCACCAGCACAGAGCACTGAGTGCCACATCCAAGCATTCCCTGGATACTTCCAAGGATGGGGACTCCACCACCTCCCTGGGAACCCCCTGCCAGTGCCTGACTCCCTTTTCCATGGAGAAATTCCTCCTGATGTCCAGCCTGAACCTCCCCTGGCACAGCCTGAGGCCATTTCCTCTTGTCATGTCCCTTTGTTCTGGGGGCAGAGCCTGACCCCCACCTGGCTGCAAGAGATAAGGTCCCCTTGAGTCTTTGTTTCTTCCAGGCTGAGCCCCCACTGCTCCCTCAGCCTCCTCTCATTAGATTTGTGCTCCAAACCCTTCCCCATCTCTATTGTCCTTTTCTGGATGCTCTCTAGAGACTGGCCAGAAATGGGCACACCACTCAATTTAGCCAAAATACTGTTTTTTTAGCTCTGATGTTTATTTTAGGTTGAATTATTAGAAACTTGCAGGAAAAAAATACTTTTTTAGCCTAACTGATAAAAAAAAAAAATATATTAAAAAAAAAGATGCAAGCTTTCTCAGCATGAGCTTTGTTTTGATTTTTTTTTTTTTTTGGGGTGAGAACTCTAGTAGCTAAATACTTCATATTCCTTCTGACCTGAATACAATATGAACACCAAGCAGGGCTGTGCCCACAGTTACATATCTGAGTTAGCAAAAGGCCACTGAGGCATGGGAGAATGAGTTTAACTTCTGTTATTCTTAATACTGTTTCTTGGGAGGCCTCAAGTTATTCTGGGGAAGGAGAAAACAGCTTTTTAGAAATTAAAATGAGGGTGAATGACTTGAGCCAAGGATGAGGACGTCTGCAATGGGCTGGTTTTGCTGGTTTTGCTGTGTGAAGGAAAGGCTGAAGGGAAGCAAGAATACAGGCTGGAAGAGGAGACAGGTTGAGAGAGAGGCTTTAGATTGGTGTTCCACAGTCTGTTTGACTATTTTGTCCAAAAGCAGGGTTGAACTAAGAAGACCTGCTCTTTCTGTCCTCCTCATGACCTTCTCAGTCGTGCCTTTATTTGAATAGCCATGCAGTGACCTGGCAGGTCATTTGTTTCTATACTGGCTGCCTGAATGGCTTGGAGAAATAGTTGCTCTTGAACAACTGAAAGGGTGCCAGCAGCTTATGTACAATAGAGCAAGTGACAAATCTGAAGATGAAAGGACTGCTTTTAAAGGGTAGGGGGAACACGGGGAGGACACAACCTTTGAGCAATAGGAGGGCATTAGGGCAGGGGTGCAGGGTAAGGGCTCCCCAGTAGAAGCCAACATGGGGAGGGTGCAAACCTCACAACCCAATTCTGCTTCAAGGAAGGGGTGAAAGACAGGGAACACTCCAGAACCAAAAGGGTGTGCTATCTTTGACAGACAGGGGTAAGACAAGGGAACAAGGGAGATATACAGGTGGATTGACATGTGGATTGACATACATTTTGGCGGGGAAAACTGTGGAAACAACTCAAGACTGAGCCATTATGGGGTACATAGAACCCCAAATGGGGTAGCCAAATGGGATACATAGAATGAACCATCACAAATTTGTAACAAGGAATATTAAAACATACTACAGAAGAACAAAGTGCAAAATAACAGACTACCACACCTTTTCAGTGAAAACATTTGCTGACAATATATTTAATATGCTACTTTTCAAGTGCAGAAAGGCAGAGCAAGATACTAAAAATACAAAAATAATTGGAACAGAATAGACTAGCTCCAGCTGGAAGGGACCTGTAATAACAGGTCCAGCTGCCTGAACCCTTCAGAGTTCAGAAGAAGTTAAAGGATGTTATTAAGGGCACCTTGGCCACTTCACATAGGTGATTCCTTATACATGGGACATGCCTTGGGTTTTAAATACGTCACACCTGTGCCAATTTAAAGACTACAGTCAGATTTTTCTTGCACAACCCTTTATCTCTGTGATAATTAGTAGAGCAAATATCACAGTTACCAGAAATGAGTTTGAATGGTTTAACGAATCTGTGTTTTCACAATTCACAAATGTTTGTAATTTCATCTGTCTTATTTTACAAACTTTATAGGAATTGGAATATTTGCTGGAAAAACATAGCGTGTTAGAAATGGATTTCTTGAAGGAAAAAAAAGAAAAAGTGCTTTTACATCAAGATCATTACAAGACACTCCAGGTAATTTCTTTCTGGTAGTATCTTTGTTTTTCAGGAGGGTTTTTTATATAGTATATTTATGTCCAGAAAATATTCTTCTCAGCATCAGTGGGCCTGTTCCAAAGCGTTTTGAATTTAAAGAGTTTCTAAGGTTTTTAGATCAGAGCCTGATTTTTCACATTAGCAGGAATGTAAGTTTAATATTCTACTTGCCTAACTACATTTTTGTTACTCAGAACACTCTTCCTCTTTAGGACCTATTTCATAAAACAGATGAAAAGAAAACCACTTTGCTCAGTAGTTGTGTTTAACAGCATGACTTAGCATGTTCTAGAGTGCTATGGCCAACTATTTGTGCTGTTTTACCTAACTTCAATATAGAATAATTTATGCTGCATAATACAGATCTGTTAAGTGCAATTAGATAGACAGTAATTAGAATTGTTTCCATTGTAAAAGTTAACATCTTCTGTTAAATACATGTGTAAAGTTTCACATCCCAGACAAAATTTTCATCAAAATGTTCAGTCATCTTCCAGTGTTAGAGCAAAGCAAACTATGTTTCAGCATTTCAGAAGCTTGTGTCCGTAACTCAGCTTCACTTAATTTTTTTGCTTCTGTGGATGGTCTTTAATAGCTATTGCATTGTTTCCCATATTTATTTACAGAGTTGCTGTAGTAATTTGTTTTGAATTCTTGACAGCAGTATATTCTGGAATTTACAGTAATATAATTATCTAATACTGGTCTTTTTCCTTTTTTGGGTGTAACACTTTACTCAATGAAAGAAATGTTTGCTTAGCCATGATATAAAAGGATGTTTAACTTAAAACCCTCATGATTTATGGAGTACCACAGTGGTTATTAGTTATCCTAAACAGTAGAATGGATGTTAATACTTGCGTTGTTAATACTTAACTTCTGCTTGAAGATCACTGTGAATTTGAATAGTGGAAATGCTACTGAGGTTTTCAGTTGTCAGTTGTATCATAACTCTTTGAGTCAGGTACTGCATTTTTCAAAAATGGCAATAAAAGGGTCATAACCCTTATCTTTGTAGAAATGTTCATGTTCCTTTTGATGCTTCCTCCTGATGTCTTCTGGGTACAGCCAGAATCAAACCAGAGCAGAAAAGTGACTCATGCTTCCAAGAGCTGCCTGATAAAGTTATTTTCATGGGACTTGAATTGTGGATGCCTTCTGTTACTACAGCTTTTAGTTTCTTTTGTCTTTCTCCTCTGGCTCCTGCACCACGAAGGTCACCACCTGTGGGCACACATGGAGCTGGCAGCTGCCGAGGGCAGATGTCTGTCCCACTGGCTCTGCCTTTTCCGCTGGTTATTCATGCTGTTGACTTGAAAAGCTTTAAAGTAGACTGCAGTGGATCCTCTGGCACAGCTTTGGGAACTCTCAGGATGAGATTTCCAATAGGACCGATGCCAGCATCCAAAGCTGTAGGTGCGCATTGACTTAATTACTTTTAAATGGAATTGCTGTGTTAATGTTTGAGTAAAAAGTATAAAATCAATGCCTCAGGAGACTTTTCTAACTGCCTTTTACGTGAACATGCACCGTTTCATGCACCTTTATATTTACTAATTAACTGGCTTCTGGCACTTGTGGCAGGGAATTCTCAAATCTGCTCTGGATATAACAAAGCCAGTCAGATAATCTGATTTTTAACAAGGTGGTATTTAGATAACACCCTTTTTTTTTTTTTTTTTTTTTTTTTTTTTAAGAAGAATAAGTTACTGTGCTTAGTTCTGAGAGAAGATTTACGTGATCTTTGTCAACTAAGTCAGTAATCTAATTTTTTTTACATCTTTTCCTATTGGTTTCTGCCTCAGTCAAGGGTGACAGTTATGTTAACACAGTTTTGTTCTCACAAAATTGCATCAATTAAATATGTTTTAGGTTTTTTGTTATGGGAAAAAATAACTTTGAAAGGCAAGGTAGGAACATAAAAATATTTTCTCTAAGCTGCATTCCCATTTTAATGAAGCAAGTTTTGTTCTGGACTAGTCACAAACTTTCTTCATCATAGATGTGCAAAAAAAGCCCTAAATTGAATTAGGTAGTTCTGAAAATTGAAGAATTGAAGGCCAGTGAGAATCACTATTCCTAAACATGGGAGGCAGAATTCCAAATCTTTGGTACAGTGTTAACATTTATTTAATGGATAGCAATAGAGTTATCATACCACATTTATTATTGTGTAAATCTAAAAATTAAAAAGTTCTGTGTTTCATCAAAATAAAATTAGCTTTAAAAAAAAGAAGATTGACCAGACCATGTAGTATTTTCACATTCTTAACATTATTTCCATATGTAAGTGCAATTACCAGAGACAGTAAAGGGGCAGCAGTGGTTCATAAACAGAATAAACAAATTGCTATTAACTGGTATTATAGAGTTGTTTGGATCTTTAATTCAATGGTCTCTTTGAGATCTTGAATTTGTATAAGCTAATAAAATTAGAGTTATGATTCCCACATTCCTGCTTCAGTGTTTGTACTATTTAAGACGCAGAATAACAGTATATTTCTGACTTCTTTACTTGCAAATTGGAACTGAGTTAAAATTGCTGTGGGAAGTGTAATTTTAGGGGTTTTGACTTGTGTGCAGTGTTGCAACCATAAAGTTGCATTCTTAGCCTTATAATTCCTTGCTTATTTTAGACAGCAGAGAAACAGGTGCAAATATATGTCTGATTTTTTATTTTCTTGGTTAGTATGTCAGTTTTATATTTTTCCCTTTTTTGATCAGAGTATATATATTCATCTCAACTTTTAATGCTTCAGCTCTTCCTTAGGTGTGAGTTGCTATGTATTTTTAAGTCATTTGAAGATAGTAAGTCATACAAGGTTTTGAAGATAATGCAGATTTAGTGGTCACTTTGTCCTAGAAATCTAAAATTTTGTTGTAGCCACAACAAATTACAATATGTTGTAGAAATAAGCAAAAGCTGCATTTTAAAACTACCAAACTCCAAATTGTGAAAACCATCAATAGCAAAATTAGCATTTCTGTTCAGTAGGTGATGTTCTCTTGTTCACAAATCACTGAGAGAACACTTAATTTGAGAAGGCAAAGTAGTGCCTTGTTTCCACTGCTCTGAACAGGAACTTAATTCCTTGGAAAGATTGTTTAGCTGATAAGGCCCCTGATGTTTGGTCTGTCTACAGACAACTGGTTTTGATGATTCACTGAGAATTGGATCATACTTTTCACTGCTATTTGTTTGATTTACCACACACTCACATTTGAAGAAGTGCTGCATTGCCACTGGAAAATTCAAGTTGCAGTTAAACACATTTTTTCTCATCATCGTCCCTTTCTGGAAGTTATGCAGGCTGTTTTTCTAAAGAATATAGTTGCTGTGGGGTGACTTTTCTTTTTCTTTTTGAAATAAACTTCTTTTTTATCTTTTGACAATGGACTTCTGTTCTTCTAACTTAACAAACATGTAGTTGTTATGAAAACACCAACAATTTTTTTTTCTTTCAGAAACCATTGTTCAATCTTTCTTTACGAAACATCTTAGAATTTTTTATTTTAAAAGGGACTTTAATATGCTTATTTTATGTAGCAGTATTACTGTTACTGCAAAGAGTCATGATTGGAAATGAACAGGTTGTTAGTGTGACTTTACGTAACATTTTTGTCTGTAAGAAAGCTCTCTTTATTCTGTGATGTCCTTGTGGAGAGTGGGACAAAAGAGGACGAACAGCAAATGTCAGGGCTCTATATAGACTTTGGACAGGGTGGGCTTCCCTGGCTCTCCACCAACCCTGCTGGGGTAGAAAGGAGGGATCCAGGGTTATCTTGATCAGAGTCACTGAGTCCCAGGGAAGGGGAAACAGAGTGCCCATGAGCTCCCTGTAACAGGAGGAGGAATGTTTTGAAAGGTTTTCATTTTGAATTTTGTGTGTGGTTTTTTTTTCCTCTCTTTTTTCTTTTATAGTAGTAGTAGTAGTAGTAGTGTAATAAAGTTTTTCCCTTGTTATTAAGTTTGGCCTGCTTTGCTCTGTTCTCGATCGCATTTCACAGCATTCAATTGATGGGTTGCATTTTCATGGGGACACTGGCATTGTGCCAGCGACAAACCATGACAAAGAGTCTTTAAACACAGTTATATAAAGATAGTAAATGGTAAACCTGAGGTTTTGGGCCAGTTTATTCCCTCTAAACTCTGAAGAATGACTTTATTCTGATTAATATCTCTTCTTGTTCTGGAGGTTTTTATATATTCCACCCATGTATCATACAAATTCACATGAACCAGGATGCATATTTGGTGGTGTCTGTCTCCTTGTTTTTGAAGTTAGTGCTTCTACCTCCCTTTTATGCCAGAGTTTAGTGATGTTCATCCATGCAGGCCTCCTGCTGCCTGTGCTTGACTTCCCACTTGTCCCTATGGACCATTCCTGGGTTTGGAGGAGATAATCCCTGAGCAGGAACCAGCTCCTTTGGAGCTTTCTCTTTAGGGTGGTGTCGTATGGCCCAGGCAGATCCCATAGTGGCCAAAGCCTTCATCCCTCAAGTCCAGTGTTGTGATCCTTGGTTTTGTCCTTTTCCTGAGCTCACCATCTCATGGTCACTGCAGTCAGGGCAGATCTTCACATCCTCAGAGAGTCCTCCCATGTTTGTAAGATTGGGTCCAGCAGAGTGCCTCGTGGATTGTTCAGCTTCCTGTGCTCCAGGGCTTGTTATCTGTGTGCCCTGGAGTCTCCTGGATCTCTGCATTGTTCCACTGGCAGATTCTAGACTTGGACACATTCCTTGTGAGGAATCACATAAGGCCCCCTCCTGTTGTCTGGAGAAGGTCTCACCTGCCCTCATCCTTCTGGAGACTGTCTGGCATAGCAATTCCCACTGTTGGCCTGCTAATCCTGACCCCAAATCCTTCACTGATCCCCTACCCCAAAGCAGAGCTCCACACATTCCAGCACCTCCCTCACACACGAGGTGACGCCCTGTCATCGCCTTCCTGGCCTTTCCTTCCAGGAGAGTGCATTTAT